AGATCGAAAATCTTCACATCATCCTCGGCCCTTCTCCTTTTCCTCCATCCCTTTGCCAATCCATTGACAAATCCTGTCTGATCTGTATTCAAAACAATATCCAGAATGTATGGACTTCTCACCACTCAACTGCCCCCACCATGGTCTAAGCCACAATCATCAAGCTGCCTGTCTACTGCAATAGCCCCCTGACCGCTCTCTGCTTCCAATCTCATCCTCTTCTTTCTATAGCTATAGAGTGGTTTCATTGAAACCTAAGCCAGATACCATTTCTCGTCTCCAAACCCTCAAATGAATTCTCAAAAAAAAAAAAAAAAGCCGAAGTCCTTAGCATGACTTCTAAGGCCCCAGTGCCCTCTTCCCCATTATCTGACTTCCTCTCCTGCTGTTCTCCCTCTTATTCACTCCTTTGGCACCATGCTGGCCTCCCTGCTGTTCCTTACAGGTTCCATTCCACTATTGCCATGGAGCATTTTCTGGAATGTTCTTCCCCAAATGTATTATAGCTCAACCACTCACTTCCATCAAATCTTTTCCCAAATTTTTCCTTCTCAGTAAGGCCTTCCATGGCTACCCTACACTCCACACCTTCCTTCTCCTGCTTTATTTTTCCTTTTTTTATCACCATCTGGCATAGTTTATTTCTTTAACTTATTTACTGGCTGTCTCTCCCGCTAGAATGCAAGATCTATAAGAGGAGCTCTTTGCCTTTCAGTTCACCGTTGTATCTCCAGTGCTTAAAATAGTACTGTATTGTACGTACATGTGCTCAATAAATACGTGCTGAACGAATGAATGTCCATTCTGCTGGTACCACATATATGTCATATATATCTCCACTTTTGATACATTATAAGGTTTAATACCAGATTAAAAACTGAGGGCAAAAGGAAAATTCAAATAACCATCAGAGGTTGTTTGTCACATGAAAGACCCTTCGAAGGTAGGAATCTTAATTTCAGGAGGTAGAAGAACTTAGTCTAACTAAAGATGTAGCTGTGGCTGCCATGTGTTATAGGTAAAGCAAATGAAGATAACTGTTATGGTCACTCTATCCTGACCTTGAAACATCTTGCTTCCATTCTTTTGAACTTGTACCTAACTAGCTTGGAATTTTGCTCGGCAAAACAAGGAGACACACTTGAAGGTCAGAATCATATCATTTTAAAATGGAAAAGACTACACCAATGTACACATTGCAATAGTTGGCTTCATCTTTTTTGTTTTCCTGAATGAATGAGGGATTTTTTAAATTTGTTTTTTGTTCTTTTCCATGTCTCTCATATATTGTCAGGTTCCTGAAGCTAAGGACCTCTACTTTAACCAGATTTCCTACATCAGAACAGTAAGGACTCCTCACCCAGGCATTTTTGCTTTTTCCTGGTGTAAATGCTAAAACTAACAAAAGTACTCTTTATTAATGGTATAGTAGGGAAAGTAAATATGTGATGTGTTACGCTTTTGCTTATGTTTTGCAGGAATTTTTTCTAGTTATAATCATTTCTAGAGTGTAATATACTTAAAGATTTTCATCTCTGGACATGTACCAACCAAAATTACAGCAGCAGGTCTGTCTTCTTTGCCACTTAAACTAAGAAAATGAGGCCAAAGCAAACTGACACAAAAATAAAATTTTAGTCACCAAGGTATAAAAAGTCTGTATTACAGGGAAATATGGCAATTTGCCCAGTCATTTTGATTTCCACTAAAATCTTAATAAGCAAGTGTTCTTGATTAAAGACTGTTCTAGAAAAACAACAGAGTTAAGAATTAAATTAAGGAGGGTGATTGCACACCCTGACAGCAACAGTCTTCCATCAGACAATCAATGACAGCATATCCTAATGGACTCCATGTGCTTTTTAAAATCTCCACAAAGAACTACTGAGCAGACATCAATAAAGGAGTGAGTGAAAACATTTAATTATTACTATTTACTTCAGAGTTAAAGGATATGTAGTTAATGATTTTTTAAAGAACAAAAATAGAAACCCTCTATCCAGGAAATGAGTAACTCTGAAAGTGGAAACCAGCAGGAGTATTGCTGCCTCCATCCCTCTAATTGCACTATCAGATGCCACCGCCATAGCCACCAGCAAACAATTGGCATCTGAGCCCTCTGGACCTGCACATGAAGCATGGGCTGTGACCGTCCTTCCTGCAACAGGAGTTGGGGGACACGGGCTAATCCACTTAATTAGCTGAAATGGGGTGTTGACCAAGATGGAGACTCAGGAGGTTCCTGCCATCCCCCTCTCCCAGGGACAAACCAAATATATGGCTACATCTGGAGTAATTCCCTCTGAAAAAGGTCCAGAAACCAGCTGAGCAACTCCTACATATCTGGCAAATGAGAAAATACCCACATCTAAATGAATAGGAAAGGCAGACACACATTTTTTCCCATAAACCTCACCCCTAGCACAGCAACATACAATCTGGAGGGAACCCCCAACTCCCACCTTTTGCCTGAGGAAGGAAGGGTTTGGACCATAATCTAGAGCCCTGACTTTTGAGACTCCCACCAGAGAGATGGGCCCCCCAAATATCTAGCTCTGAAGATCCACAGGGCTTGCATCCATGAGAACCCCAAGATTATAGCAAAAAAAGAAGGAGCTCTTAAAGGGCACACGAGTCCTCACATGGCTACCCCCCAGGGCTCAGTGCAGAGGGAGCAGGCGAAAATGCCCATCTCCCAGTGTTTCGCTGAAAGGGTGTATGCTTACTTCAAAAGATGCTGCCAATATATATATATATAAAATTATAGTTGACATACAATATTCTTCAGCTTCAGCTTCAGGTGTACAGTATAGTCACAGGATATGGAGTACAGCATAGGGAATAGAGTCAATGGAATTGCAATAGATATACACAATGTCAGAGGGGCAATAGATTGGGGGAGAGGGGTTACCACTTTGTGAGGGGTGAAATGTCTAACTATTACATTGTTTTGTACACCTGAAACTAATAAAATATAAAATGAAATAAAGTAAAATAAAATAAAATAAAAGATGCTGCCTGAGGACCAGGCTTCTAATTTAGCAGGCATTTGGGAGCTGGCTGTGATCCTTCCCAGAGTCCAGTGCTGTTGGACACCTCCCCAGGCCTCTCCCTTTACCCCACTCCCTTCACCCCATAATGAAACCAAGCTGCCAGTATCTCCCTAGAAGGAGGTTGTACACAGGTCTGGTGCCCCAGCTTTTGCAGCACCTACCCAAGGGACAGGCCTCCAATCTCCTGGCTCTGATAGGCAATGGGGCTTGCATCTGAGTCCCACAGGACTATCGTAAACAAAGAAGTAGTTCTTAGCAAGTCCGGGAGCACTCTTCCATGGCTATACAACAGACCCAGCACAGAGGGAGCAGACAAAATACCCATCTCTCAGTTCCTCCCTAAAAAGGGTTTAACTACATACCTTTCCAGCTGCTGCCTGAGGATCTGGCTTCTACTCAGACTGCATCTAGGTGCTGACCATGATCCTCCCCTTTGGGACACAGACAGGTCTTAACACACTGTCAGCTACTTAGAGCCACTAAAAACTAACACAGTTGCTTGGACGATCATAAAAGTTTGAGAGAGAACAACGAGCTCAGGCCTGGCTGAATGACAAGGCTCATCTCCTACACAAGCCCACTCCACCAAGACTAGAGAGGTGGCTGTTATCTACGGCACAGAAACCAACACAGAGAGTCAAGGAAAATGAAGAAATGGAGGAATATGTTCCAAACAAAAGAACAAGATAAGTCTCCAGAAATATATCTTAATGAAATAGAGATAAGGTATTTACCTGATAGAGTTCAAAATAATGATCATAAACATAGGGAGTAAGCTCCTTGACATAGGTCTTGAAAAGGATTTTTTGGATTTAACACCAAAAGCAAAGGCAACAAAAGCAGAAATAAACAAGTGGGATGACATCAAGCTAAATAGCTTCTGCGCAGCAAAGGAAGCCATCAACAATATGAAAAGTCAACCTATGGAATGGGAGAAAATATTTTCAAACCACATATCTGATAGGCGGTTAATATCCAAAATATACAAGGAGCTCATACAATTCAACAGCAATCAATCAATAATAAATAAAGTTTAAAAAACCCAACCCAGTTAAAAAATGGGCAAAGGACCTGAGTAGACATTTTTTCAAAGAAGACATTCAAATGGCCAAGAGGTACATGAAAAGATGTTCAGCATCACTAATTATTAGGGAATGCAAATCAAAACCACAATGAGGTATCACCTCACACCTGTACGTATGTCTATTATCAAAAACACAAGAGATAACAAATGCTGGTGAGGATGTGGAGAAAAGAGAACCCTCGTACACTGTTGGTGAGAATGTAAACTGGTACAGGCACTATGGAAAACAGTATGGAGATTACTGAAAAAAATCAAAAATAGAACTACCATATGATGCAGCAATTCCATTTCTGGGTATATATCCAAAGAAAACAAAACCACTATCCTGAAGAGGACATTTATACTTCCATGTTCATCGCAGCGTTATTCGCAAGGTGCGGAAATAACCTAAAATGCCCATCAATGGGTAAATGAATCCAGAAAATGTCACACACACACACACACACACACACACACACACACACACACACACACACACACTATGGAATATTATTCAGCCTTTAAGAAGAAAATTCTGTCATTTATGGCAACATGGAGGAATCTGGAGGACACTATGCTAAGTGAAGTAAGCCAGACAGAGAAAGACAAATACTGCATGGTATCACTTATATGAGCAATGTGAAGAAAAATAAATTGAACTCATAGTAACAAAGACTAGAAAAGTGGTTGCCAGGGGCTGAGGGGTGGGGGAAATAGAGAAATATTGGTAAAAGGGTATAAACTTTCAGTTAAAAAATGAATAGGCTCTGAGAATCTACCATATAACATGGCGAGTATAGTATATAATACTGTATTGCATAACTGAAATTTGCAAGAGAGAACTTAAATGCTCTCACAAATAAATAAATAGACAGAAATATGAGGTAACTAATATGTTAACTAACTCAATGGAGGGAAATCCTTTCACAGTGTATACATATATCAACTCCTCACTTTGTACACTTTAAATATATTACAATTTTGTCAATGATACCTCAGTAAAGCTGAAAAAAGTATAGAATGTCCTCCTTGCAAGACAGCAGCAAGTGGGTTTGAGGGATCATGAATGCCAAGACATTCACCGGAGTGGTGGCTGCCAGGAAGTAAAGGAGCAAAAGCATTTCCTTTGCCACATTTGTGTCTCCAATTCTAACCTCCCTTATATTCCCTAATGTGTCCCCTTAATCTGAACCAGTTATGAACCTAAAATTTTGGTAGTGCTGCAGATATTCATTCTGAAACTACCAAACATCTTTGGAATATTTATGGGGTCGCCACAACATAAATGTCTGACCTGGGAGCAGACAGCAGCAATTCCTGCTTATTATGCCAACTGTACTTAAGAAAACGAAGATGCTTCGTGCTGGCCCATCAGCATTCAGTTATGACTGGAGTTGCACACAAACCTTTCACAGGATTATCCTCCCTTGCTCCGTGCTGGATCACTCATCACTCCAATAACACGAAACACAATTCATGCCTATACCTCAGAGTTAGGAGTGATCGCAGGCTCTTCTTGTCCATCATTATAAACACCACAGATAGATTGTTTTTTTTTCACAGCTTCAGAAAACCAATGGAGCTGAAAGAATGCCGTTGACTATGTGTGACCAAAGAGGGTTCTTTCAGTTAATAGTTCCAGATTCTACTTTTGTCACATTTTTTGGTAGTCCAAATGTTTACAGTTGGCAGAGCAGGAATTGTTAATGCTTTAACAAAATATCTCAATCTGAGAATGACATTGATCCAAGTTCCCTCACTAAAGGAATCTTTCAAGTCCTTTGTCACTCAGAATCACCATGGCCCTCACGTAATACCATACTTGAGCAATCAGCCTGTTTGGAGGGGTGTGTTTTGGGGTTTGGGGGGGTAGAGAACACAGTTATGTAAAAATACAGAATGTTCAGAAAAAGCAATCACTGGGGATTGCACTGGTTAAGACAAATGCATATTATGCTTACACTGGAGATTGTATAAGACTTACATTTATGAGCCTTCAGGCCGTCAAAGGAAACTGGTCCGATCTCATAATACTCGTATTCCCAGGTGTAATCAGAATTAGATGCAGACTGCTGAGACGTTCTGTTAGAAATTAACCTCGGGGCAGACATCTCCACCCTGCACAAATGGAGAAAGGCAAGTGCAGAACCTGTTAATTCACCCATGAGTGCGCAGGTATTCTAACTGCTCTTAGCACATTTAGGAGTTCAGCAGGCAAAGGCCAGGGGGAGGTCCTATCTACTAGGTCAGGGAGAGGCCCTCACCAGCTGCCCATGCCTCAGACCAAGTGCCCGTTATTTTCTTTTATCTCTCCACTAAACTGGAATGTATTTGAAATCAGACACCATGTTTTCTTTTGTTGTCCCCCAGAACCTAATCCAGTGCCTGGCACATAATCAACTTTTAATAACTGATGAGGAAAGAAAGGGGAGGGAGAGAGCTCATAAAAATCTGAGCTTATAACTTCTGCCTCACCACCTATATTGGCGTAAGTATGTAAAGAGCCTACAGAGAACAAATAAAATCAGTATCAGAAGTGAACTAGCTCAGTATTGAGCTATTGAGCACCTACTATGCAACAATAAAGATATGTAACCTAAGTCTATTGAAATGGGGTGAAGAGAAATGGACAATAAGACTTATGTAATGGGGGAAGGTCCTCAGTGGAAGTCCACTTCTCGCCGACTGCTTACTCCTGAAATTTGTCCTATTTTCAGGATGTCCCAAGTATCTTCTTTATGATGATTTTAGATTAGAAAATTGTAACTTGTGAAAAGAGGTGGCAGTGTGCAGCACGAACGCCAAAGATGACAACTCAACACAGCCAGTATTCAATACTGAGCATCGACTGTGTACAAAACTTTGTACATTATGAGATGCTTGCGACACAGATCAAGACCCCACAGACCTTCCCTAATAATGGGGAAGGAATATAAAGTGAAAAATAACAGTAATATTAGGGAAAATCTGATTGAAATACCAGCTGAAACCAAGATTCACTGAGCATTTACCAGCACTGAGTCCCACCCACCAAAATCTTTCTAAAGTTGCCCTTCTCCCAACCCCACACCATGGGACAGTATCACCCACTGCCGCCTCTAGGGCCCAACCCCCAGAGAAGCTGAGGCAAAATTATCACCACCCCTCTGCGCCAAGGCATGAGTCTCACCTTTCTCTCCTACTTTCTTCCCCATTCCCAGTCCTGGACTCCATCAAAACAGACTCCAAACAAACCCTCGGCATATTATTCAAAATATGGAGTGCTCTGATCCAGTGATGTGTGCCAGTGTCAGAAATGGAGTGTGACTCTGAATGCCCATTCAGAGGAATCTTCCCTCCAAAGGTAGAAGAGAATATGCCAATACTCATTTGGGACAGAGACCTACGCACATTTTAAGAAAAGCTGACCTTTAAGTAAGAACTCAACTACCTTTCTGATGCCAGCACAAAAATAACATAAAACTACTACCACAGTATCACCTTTGGCCTTTCTATTACTTGAACAAGGAGTTATTTCCCTCAACAACAAAATTAATTTCCTCAGGAAATGAAAATTAACAACTCAAACCCAAAAAGGACTATCCTCATTTATGAGCTTTTATGAGAGAGAAGGGAATACTTCTTCATGTGTAGGGTTTAGAGATAAAGGGCAGATTAAAATAACCATAATTTCCATTTCAGAATGTTCAGAATTTCACAACATACAGGGAAAGGCACTGGATTTAAAGTCGGGAGACCCAGGTCTTCATCTTTTGCTCCACCTTTGTTTGCTATGTAGCCAGGGAAGACATTAATCTCTACAAGACATATTTTGCTCATCTGCAAAGCTGATCATCCTGGCTACCTGAAGATGCTGTTGTCAGGAAATGATCCTGGCTACGGTCGCTAATAGCCACCACCATCACTCACCTGGCCCACTTCTTGAAATGGGTTTTTCTGCTTCTATTTTTACTAAGCAATTGTGATCCACTTTCAACACAGAAGCCAATGATCTTTTAAAACGACAAGTTGCCCTTGTCATTCCTTTACTTACATAATATTTTTAATGCCTTCTATGAAAAAGGTCCAAAATCCTTAAAATGTCCTACAAGGTCATGACATGGGCCTTCCTGTCTCCTCTTGTTTTGCCATATAGCCTATCAAACTGCACTTACATTGACTGCATTTCCTCAAATAGTTCATGCTCTCCGCTACCTGCACACATACTATTCTGTCTGGCAGGAGTGTCCTTCCTACCACACCATCCTGACCCATTCCTCCTCCCCTACATATTCTCCTCATCTATATCAGGGGTTGGCAAATCTGGCCCACCACCTGCTTTTGTATAGATGCAAATAAAGAATGATTTTTATATTTTTTAGTGGTTGAAAAAAAATCAAAATAATAGTAATGTTTCATGACATGAGAAAATTATATAACATTGAAATGTCAATGTCCATAAATAAAGTTTTATGGGAACACAACCACCCTCTTTTATACTTCTTATGATTCTCTAGTGTTACAACAACAGAGCTGAGTAGTTGTGACAGAGGTAGTATAGCCCACAGAATAAAATATTTACTTTCTGGTCTTCTATAGAAAGAGTCTGCCAACCCTACTTCTAGACTCATGGGGTGGTTGAGTCATGAAGATAATTTTAGTGGCTGTTTCATAAAACTGCTTTGATGTTATATGAAATATAAGTAGATTAAATATGATGTTGCATGAAATATAGTAGCAGGACCCAAGTTAAGATCAATAAATACTAGCCAGCAGTATGATTACTAGCTAAGAAAAGGGTAGCCTGAGATAGGAAAGCCTAGGTTTGTTTTTAAACATCACCAACTCCCCTGTCAGCCACTTCCTATCATATTTACCATGTAGTTAATTAATCTATTTGCTCTAGAAAAATGAATAAAATTATAATAAAAAATAACTCAAAGGCATTCATTTAGATGGTTTAAAACTTACAATGAAAAGCATGTACCCCATGGGATTTATGCTGTTATATCAAGTCAAAAACATGGTAATAATCTTTTTCTTTCTCTCTCTTTGTTTAATAGAAGTAAGATGAAGTCTGGTTTGATCATATCATTTTTATTGGAAATCAACATTATACACAATGTAATAAGCAGAGCAGAGAGAAGCACCAGGCTTCATCTAGTGTCAAAATAGTTAACAGAAAAATAACTAAAAGTGCATAAAACAATGAAGGAAATAAAGCTGGGACAGGGTTTTCCATGTCCTGTCTAAGCAGGTCTCCCCACAGCTCTGATACTCTCCACATTGGGGCACAGTGGTGGCCCCCGTCTGTGGTGGCCGAGGCCCACGGGTCCATCAGGTGTCTCTGCTACTCTCTCAGGTCCGAAAGAAGAATTAACACTACCTCACAGGGCTGGCCAGGAAGTAGCAAATAAAATATATCTGTGAAAGAGTCAGAAGTCAGGAAATATCAACCACTCACCTACTATAGAGAAAGTATTTCTTCATTCCTTCTTTTTCTTCCCTTTATCCCATTCCTGTTTACCTAAATGAGCCATTTAAGGACCAAAGGGTGATAAAAGTCACATGTGCAATGTCCTGAAAGCAGAAAGGCTGTCCTTTAAGAGGGGAGCAGAGCCCTGACAAATAAATACCTGGAAATAAGAGTGAGTGAATAACAGAGCCAGCCTCCCAGAGGTCCTCCAGGGTAGCAGAGGAAATGCTAGACAACCTCTCCCGGAGTAGCCACCATTTTGGTAGCCTTCAGATAAAAGGAGGGGCTTTTGTTACCACTGCTATTTGCTCTCAGTCCTTGAATCCTAAAGATAGGTTTGGAGGACAAAACCTCGGGCCTCTCCTTTAAAGCAGCCACCTAGCACCCTTGAACAAGTCCACGAGGCAATGTGTTTTCATCCAAGTTTCAAATTAATCAGACTGGGCCATCAAATGCACAATGACAAACAAGCAGAAGGCTGTAGTAAGGCGGTGTTTT